TGTGTGGGGGCTGTGTGGGGGGAGTAGTTGGTGGCGGTGTGGGTGGGCGGTGTGTGTGGGCGGAGTGTGTGGGGGGGAGTGTGGGGGGGGCGTGGGGGGGGGGAGTGTGTGGGGGGGGCAGTGTGTGGGGGGGGCAGTGTGGGGGGGGGGGGGGGGGGGGGTGGGAGTGTGTGGGGGGCAGTGTGTGGGGGCAGTGTGTGGGGGGCAGTGTGTGGGGGCAGTGTGGGGCAGTGTGGGGGCAGTGTGTGGGGGCAGTGTGGGGGCAGTGTGTGGGGGGGCAGTGTGTGGGGGGCAGTGTGTGGGGGGCAGTGTGTGGGGGGGCAGTGTGGGGGGCAGTGTGTGGGGGGCAGTGTGGGGGGGCAGTGTGGGGGCAGTGTGGGGGGCAGTGTGTGGGGGGCAGTGTGTGGGGGGCAGTGTGTGGGGGCAGTGTGGGGCAGTGTGTGGGGGGCAGTGTGTGGGGGCAGTGTGTGGGGGCAGTGTGTGGGGGGGCAGTGTGTGGGGGCAGTGTGTGGGGGCAGTGTGTGGGGGGGCAGTGTGTGGGCGGCAGTGTGGGGGGCAGTGTGTGGGGGGGCAGTGTGTGGGGCAGTGTGTGGGGGGGCAGTGTGTGGGGGGGCAGTGTGTGGGGGGCAGTGTGTGGGGGGGCAGTGTGTGTGGGGGCAGTGTGTGAGGGGCAGTGTGTGGGGGGCAGTGTGTGGGGGCAGTGTGTGGGGGGCAGTGTGTGGGGGGCAGTGTGTGGGGGGCAGTGTGTGTGGGGGCAGTGTGTGTGGGGGCAGTGTGTGGGGGGCAGTGTGTGGGGGCAGTGTGTGGGGGCAGTGTGTGGGGGCAGTGTGGGGGGCAGTGTGGGGGGCAGTGTGTGGGGGCAGTGTGTGGGGGGGCAGTGTGTGGGGCAGTGTGTGGGGGCAGTGTGTGGGGGCAGTGTGTGGGGGGCAGTGTGGGGGGCAGTGTGTGGGGGCAGTGTGTGGGGGCAGTGTGTGGGGGCAGTGTGGGGGGGCAGTGTGTGGGGGGGCAGTGTGTGGGGGCAGTGTGTGGGGGGCAGTGTGTGGGGGGCAGTGTGTGTGGGGGCAGTGTGTGGGGGGCAGTGTGTGGGGGCAGTGTGTGAGGGGGCAGTGTGTGGGGGCAGTGTGTGGGGGGGCAGTGTGTGGGGCAGTGTGTGTGGGGGCAGTGTGTGGGGGGCAGTGTGTGGGGGGGCAGTGTGTGGGGGGGCAGTGTGTGGGGGGGCAGTGTGTGGGGGGCAGTGTGTGGGGGGGCAGTGTGGGGGGGGCAGTGTGGGGGCAGTGTGTGGGGCAGTGTGTGAGTGTGAGGGCTGAGAGAGCGGCAATAGCACAGTGAGGCTGTGGGGTGGCACTGACCAGTGGTGAGGGCGAAGCAGCAGAGGAACACGAGGTGAATCTCCAAGTTGCCCATCGCGTCCCGTCCCGTCCGCTCCGCACTGCCGACCCGCGGCCCCCGCGATACTTATATACCCCCCCGCCAGCACGTGACCCGGCCCCGCCCACACGCCGCCATGTTGGTAAAGGAGACGCTCTCACCAGCGGTACAGCCTGAACCCGTCAACAGCGTCTCCCACAATCAAAACATCAGCACAAACAATGTTATTTGCGATTAAAAATACTGCAGTTACTATGCTCCGAGGATGTGAACGTCAAAATGGCGACAGATCGCATGTTCCGCTCATTGGCCAAACGTAAAGCAACAACGACGACGACAAAATGACCTTCACGTCGGGAGGCGCTGGACAGAATTTCGGACCTGAGCTGGGGATCGGAGTGGGGGAGGGCAGTGCGGGAAATAGGGCCATCGAAAGCACAGTCGAAGAGGAGGATCTTGAGATGGGTCTTGAAGGAGGCGAGGGAGGGGGCAAGACGGAGGGACTGCGGGCTGGAGCTCCACAGGGAGGGGGCAAGACGGAGGGACTGCGGGCTGGAGCTCCACAGGGAGGGGGCAAGACGGAGGGACTGCGGGCTGGAGCTCCACAGGGAGGGGGCAAGACGGAGGGACTGCGGGCTGGAGCTCCACAGGGAGGGGGCAAGACGGAGGGACTGCGGGCTGGAGCTCCACAGGGAGGGGGCAAGACGGAGGGACTGCGGGCTGGAGCTCCACAGGGAGGGGGCAAGACGGAGGGACTGCGGGCTGGAGCTCCACAGGGAGGGGGCAAGACGGAGGGACTGCGGGCTGGAGCTCCACAGGGAGGGGGCAAGACGGAGGGACTGCGGGCTGGAGCTCCACAGGGAGGGGGCAAGACGGAGGGACTGCGGGCTGGAGCTCCACAGGGAGGGGGCAAGACGGAGGGACTGCGGGCTGGAGCTCCACAGGGAGGGGGCAAGACGGAGGGACCCGCGCGCCCCCCCCCGCGGCCCCCCCCCACCGCGCGCCCCCCCCGCATGGCCCCCCCCATGTCAGCGATGAGGAACCTGAAAGACAGAAAGCTAAATCTGCTGCTTGGTTCACAAGCAATCCCAACAACACTATAAGAATATAGCGCCCTCCACACAGGATAGTGTCTCAAAGCGCTTAACTGTGGCGGAGCCTGACTCCGAGCTGGGGGAAGTGGGGACTGGCCATAAGCAAGGTCGAAGAGGAAGATTTTCAGGTGGGACTTGAAAAGGGGGAGAGGGGGGCAAGGTGGAGGGATTGAGGGAGAGTCTTCCAGAGTTTTGGGGATAGTGGCTGAAAGCGCGATCTCTGATGGTGGGGCGGAGGGAGTGAGGGATGAGCAGAAGGCCGAGCATTCTAATCCTGTAAGAATTTTGAGTCCCAGGTCCTCCTTTCGCTGTCAGGCCCTACAGTGGTTTCAGCTCTTAGGGAAACAGGAACTGAGACACAGGATGGGGTTTCCCTGGGTCTGAGAACCACTCGTGCTAGTGTTCTCAATTCATTCCTTGTCTAAGAGCTGGATGGAGATCAGTGTTTGTTTCATATGGCTCTCCTCCACCTTCCAATGGCTGAATCTGCAGCTAGAGGAGGAAGGGTTCAGATGTGTGCTGAATTGATCTCTACCAGGGCAGCAATGTGGGCTACAATTAATCTTGCAAGCCAACACCATACATGACCCTGGATACAATCCAGACCCTCACTGGAATGTGCCAATGAGGATCAATCTCTATTGTGGTGCTCCCGCAGGTGACTATCCTGCCATTTCTCATGACCTAGGGTTTTGATGCAAAATGTCTGTCCAGTGCGGAACCAAGTGGGTGACGCCCAAGATGAGTTGGCGCTTCAGTTGTAGGTTTCTAACTGATTGAGACTGTCAGTCTGATCTCGCCACTTGGGGAAGAAGTACTGGACTGGAGGAGTGGCCTGCTGTACACAATGACTGATTGTACTACACTCTCGTCCCAGCGCCTTAGGTAGCCTTGTAATTTGGTTGTTGTTCCACAGGGACTACAGATACCCAGAATGGTCAGGAAGCCTGGGGCTATGTGGCAGTGCGCAATGATGCTAGCATGTTCTGGTGGCTTTACTATGCAAACTCTCCAACTCACAGCTACTCTGAGCTGCCTCTGGTCATGTGGCTGCAGGTATGTGACCAAACGATTGTTCTGAAAGCTTCTCCTAACTGTTTTCTCTTCCAGGTACAGTAATTTGGCTTCCCCTCCCCCACATATACTTAGGGATGCTTCCATCAACTCTGTTCTACACCTAAGTACAATACAAATTTACATTTATATAGCATCTTTCACATCATGAGGACATTCCAAAGTGCTTAACTATACTTCCTGTGGACCTGAGTTGGGGCAAAGATCACCCTGTTTGTGTGTCAGCCCAGAGAGCGAATGCCAACAATATATTCAAATTAGATTGTGATTTGGAAATCTCCCTGCCCTAATGCTGTCCTGATAAGTCGCTATATCAGAGGTAAGATTTATTATTGACTGATTGTCAATAATGCACCAAACTCCGTGACCCCATCTCCCCCATTCTCACCCGACTCCATTGGCTCCCTATCCTTCAGAGGATCCAGTTCAAGATCCTGGTCCTCACCTACAAAGCGCTCAATGGTCTCGCCCCACTCTATCTCTGTGACCTCCCACTAATAACAATAACAATAACAACCCACTACCAACCTGCCCGCTCCCTCCGCTCAGCCGGCTCTGGCCTGCTCCACGTCCCCTGACCCACCCACACCACCATTGGCGGGAGAGCTTTCAGCCACTCTGCCCCCAACCTCTGGAACTCCATCCCCCAATCACTCTGTCTCACCTCCTCCTTAGCCTCCTTCTGGTCCCGCCTCAAAACCCTCTTCGACCATGCCATGGTCATCCCCCTTCCTCTCCCCTCCTCCCCCCTGATCCCAGCTCGGGTCTGAAATGCTGTGCACTGTCCAACGCCTTGGGACGTCCTCCCGACGTGAAAGACAATATACAAATGTAATCTTGTTTTTGTTGTTATTAATAATTTTTATTTTACTCTATTGCAGGGAGGCCCTGGAGCCTCGGGAACAGGATATGGGAACTTTGAAGAGATTGGGCCACTCGACAAGAATCTGAATCGGAGGAAATATTCGTGGGTAAAATATTCTCTAGTGTCTTACTTTATTTAGGTCCAGGTAACCAGTGGCTCTTACTAAGGGATGGACACCTCTGCCTTCTGGCTCGGTGCTACCTTGGGCAGTGCCGCATTTCTCACTGATTGTGTTCTTGATCTCTCTCTCACTAGGTGGAAGCAGCCAGCCTGCTCTTTGTGGATAACCCAGTTGGCACTGGTTACAGTTACACCACCAATGCCAATGCCTTTGCCAAGGACCTCAATATGGTCGTCTCGGACATGATGATTCTGCTGAAGGAGTTTTTTCTCAAGAAGCCGGAGTTCCAGGTACTCATCCCACACCACCTGCCAATCATTCCCAATGGTGTGCTCACCTGGTAAAAACAGTCCCGGTGTAACTTAGAGAACAATGGGGGAATATAGCAAGCAGTAAAAAGCAATCAGAAAACAATCAAGGCTGAGAAGGAATGTAGAAAAAAAGCTTGCAGGTAAATAAATACATCATGAGAGAAAGCATACAGCAGGAGAAGGGGCTATTGAAAGCTTGTACAACAACTTGTATTTATATAGTGCCCTTCATACGTAGCGTCTTAGAGCATTTAAAAGTCCTTAACAGTTGGACAGGATCAGGACCACTTACAGTGCTCTTTGTTTCAAACAGAACATTCCTTTCTACATCTTCTCTGAATCTTATGGTGGTAAAATGGCAGCTGGCATTGCTCTGGCACTGGTTCAGGTAAGTGTTAAGATCACTTCAGATGTGTTCCATCTTGTCAAGATGGGGGCTTGTGGGTAGGGAATGGGAGGATGAGGGGTCATAGGGAATGGTGGGGGTGTGTATAGGGAATGGGGAGGTGTATAGGGATTGGGAAGGAGGGGGAGATAGGGAATGGGAGGGAGGGGTGTATAGGGAATGGGGAGGGTGGTGTACAGGGAAGGGAGGCTGAGGGATGATTGGGAGGAAACAACTGGGTTCTGTTCTTAGACTCTGAGGTTTGCTCTGATTCCCAGGGTTGAGCAGCTCCCTTCAGTTGAGAGAAGGTAAGACTTATGTCCATGAGATCAGCCTCCCTGACTGGGATAATATTCCATAAACTCATTACGCTTTTCCCTCCTGAAGGTGCCACCTTCTCCCATCCTGGGGCCAATGTCAACTCCTCCTCCAAGTGCTCATTCAGGGTGAGGTAGTGGATTGGGGGAGGGGGTAATTGCAGCATCTGTCAATACCCACACAACTTCTCTTGACCCTGCTCTCAGTGCGTTCTGCCAGCTGGATGGAGTGTTTGACTTGCCTGGTCTGTAGTTCAGTGTTTTTTCATGAGATCTCCCGCAAGTCAGCATTGATTGCTGATCATGTGACTTTTCTTATCTACAGGCAGTGCAGCGGAATGAAATCCATTGCCGTTTTGCGGGTGTGTCTCTGGGAGATAGCTGGATCTCGCCTCTGGGTACGGCTTTGTAAATCCGCTCTGCCTGTCGGGATGGGATTGTGGGGGGATGTGATTGAGTGCTGCAGGCTGTCCTTATTCCCAGTTTCCTTGCACTAGCATTTCTACTGAAAGATATTGTGTACAATTCATTCCTAGTGTTGGGGGCAGGGTGGGGGGTGCGGAGAAGAGGGGTCATTCTCATGCTTGGTTCACATTGGGCAAATGTTGTTCAGTGTGTGAGTATCCATCAGTTTGTTTAAGGTGTCAGAATTCTCAGGAATTCTGCATTCAGCCTGTCAGCATGCTAACCTGACACTTACTGTGCAGTAAGAGTGAGTAACCCGGTCCCATGTATTGGTTTTAACCAATCGCATGTAGTCTTGAATCCCAGTCTCATAATCTCCTCGCTTCCAATTAGCGCCTTTCACGCCGGGAGGATATCGAAGCTCCTCAGAGGAAATACTCTAAAGTATACTGACTGCGTTTCATTGCTGCAAAATATCACAGTACATGGAGTCTTGTTGCTTAGTGGTTAGAGCACTCGCCTCGCAAGTGAGAGGACCTGGGTTTGATTCCCGGCAGGGCAAAACATTGGACAGTTGTTAGTCGATTGGCGGATTGCTTTTCCGGGATAATAATTTCTCAAAAAGATATAATAATTTGGTCACTCAATCCATGGCTGATTGTGGGTCACTGCAATTGTCTGCCACATTTCACCCACATATATAGTCAATCACTTTGCAGTATATTCTGTGAAGCACTTTGAGACGTCTGGAAGACATGATAAGGCGCCATATTTACCAAATGCAAGGATTATTATTATTACAACAGTAACTTGCATTTATATAGCACAACTTCACACAGGATAGTGTCTCTGAACACCATCTACTCTCCTGCACACTGATACTGCATTTGTATTTTGTTTTTCCCAGATTCTGTTCTCTCCTGGGGACCATATCTCTACAGTATGGTAATAATTGCACTCCCCCTACAGCATTGCAAGCACTCCTTTACTCCTCCTCCCTCCCCACCCCACCTCACACACACGAGCCACCCCCCACCATCCCCACACACGCACGCTCGCTATACAAATTTCTTGAAATAATTGTCTGCTTTGTTTCAGTCTTTGCTTGACGATCGGGGCCTAGAGGAGGTGAATTCCTACGCAGATCAAGTACAAAAGGCTATTGAGGCTGGGAACTACAAACAAGCCACTGACCTGTGGGGGGCCACTGAGTTTGCTATTCTGAGGGTTGGTCTATGTGATGCTCAGAATCTTAGTTTGGGGATGATTGGCAACTAGTTTACCCAGAGATGTCTATGTCTTACACCACTCTCTGGTTGTTTTGACGAGGTTCCTGTGATCAGAACTGAGGTAGTAGCTGCTTGTGTGGTTTGCATAGAACCAGAGAATCTATTGAATTCCATCATGCTGTGAAGGGACTAGTTGTAGCAATGTGGTACGTGGGGAAGAGGGAAAAGAAAGGTAGGCTCCATTGCCTTTTTTGCCGTGGCTGAGGGTTAAGTGGACTGCTGGAATACCTTGAGCTGGTTATGTTGATAGAATGCCCATGATAGAATCATTCATACAGCATAGAAGGAGGGCATTTGGCCCAGTGTGTCTGTGGGCACTTCCAAATCAACCCCACTTCCCCGCGCTCTCCCCATAGCCCTGCAAACTTGTCCTCCCCAAACAATTATCTTCTCTCTCAAAAGTTATTGAATCGGCTTCCATTACCCTTTCAGGCAGTGCATTCCAGATCCCAACAACTCACTGTGAAACCATTTCTCCTCATCTCCCCTCTGTTGCTTTTAACAACTATTTTAAATCGGTGTCCTCAGGTTACTGACCCACCCTCCAGTGGAAATAGTTTCTCCTTGTTCACCCTATCGAATCCCCTCATAATTTTGAAAACTTCTATTAAGTTTCCTCTTAACCTTCTCTGCTCCAACGAGAATAATCCGAGCTTCTCTCGCCTCCCTGATAACTGAAGTCACTCATTCCTGGTACCATCCTGGTCAATCTCCATTGCACCTTCTCCAATGCCTCGACATCCTTCATAAAGTGTGGGGCCCAGAACTGAACACATTCTCTAGATGAGGTCTAACCAGTGTTTTATATAAAGGTTCATCATAACTTCCTGACTTGTGTATTCTATGCCCTATTTATAAAGCCTAGTATCCCGGATGCTTTTTTAACAGCTCTATCTGCCTGTCCGGCCACCTTCAAACATTTACTATCTGACCCCCAGGTCTCTCTGTCCCTTCACCCTCTGTAAGATTGTCCCATCAGCGTATATTGCCTCTCCTCATTCTTCCTCTCAAATTTGCATCACTTTGCATTTCTCACTACACCCTGCATTGTGTTCCAGAACACAGACGGAGTGAACTTCTACAATATAATGACCAAGGAGCCGGCCGATGCTGTGGTAGAGATGGCCGTTCCCATGAAGAATCACTATTTAGGTCAGTGATGTGTAACGTGCACATGCAACATGAGTTTGAGTGCAGACATCTGATGGGTACCATCACTAGAAGGTGGCAGCGGACGTGAAGCAATTTTATTCTCTGCTTTGAATCCCAGTCTCTGCTTCCTCTGACTGAGGGCTGCCATAAGACAGTGCCTAATTCTGTTTGTCTTTACAATTGTTAGGCTCAAGGATCTGTGTGTCTAATGTCACGTCTTCTCGCCCTGCAGTTAACCTGTACAGTAACCATGTCAGACGTCTGCAGAAGACGAGCCTGGATGTTCTGATGAATGGACCTATAAGAGACAAGTTGAAGATCATCCCCAGCTTTGTCCGTTGGGGAGGTCAGTGCATGTTATTTGGTGGCTCGACTCCCAATCTGTTTATTACTGAATGTGACATAACATGTAGGAGCAGGAGTAGGCCATTCGGCCCTTCTAGCCTCTGCCCCGCCATTCAATCATGGCTGATCTTCTAATCTAACTCCAGCTAATAACCTGACCCTGCCTTATCCCAATATCCCTTAATCCCTTTTGCAATAAGAAATCTATCTTGAATATGTTCAAGGACTGAGCGTCAACAGCCCTTTGGGGTAGTGAGTTCCATACATTCACTGCCCTTTAGAGTGAAGAAGTTCTTCGACTCAGTGCGAAAGGGCTGCCTCTGATTTTAAGGTTGTGACCCCTGGTTTTAGTTTCTCCAACCGGGGAAACAATCTCCCACTATCTACTCTATCATGCCCTTTGATGATCTTATAGGTTTCTATAGGGATCTGTGGTGTGTATCTCAGTCACTCTCACTCCTTCCCTTAGGACAGTCCAATGCCGTCTTTAACAATATGGAGGAGGACTTCATGAAGCCAGTAATCGATATTGTGGATAAGCTGCTGGCTGCTAATGTAAATGTCTCCGTCTTTAATGGACAGCTGGATCTGATTGTGGACACTGTAGGTAAGCAATCTCCAGCACTGCTTCAGGGGGTCTCCTCCTTTGGTTACATGGCATTCATGTTGGAGCCTACACACCATAATGCTGGTATTTAGAGGATTAGATCAATGAAGATAATGGCAGTTTGGTGCCACCAAGCTACGGCTTAAAAGCAGGAAGCGGTAATGATGGGAAAAATGAGGGAAGTGGTGCGGGAGTTTTACCGTTTTGAGCTTCTGGGAATGGTGAGTTGGAGGAAGAGGAAACTATAGACAGTCAGTGACCTGGTAGAGCAGGTGGGGCTGTAGCGGCCTTTCCTTGTGCTGTCCTGGCAACTTTACTTGTGATTGAATGGTTCAGTGCGGTGAGCTCAGTTACTGCAATCTCCTGTTTGTTGCAGGGCAAGAGGCTTGGGTGAAGAAGCTGAAGTGGCCAGGCCTGTCCTCCTTCCTGAGTGGCCACTGGAAGCCATTATACATCCCATCGAAACCTGATGAGGCAGCTGCCTTCTTCAAACAGCAAAACAACTTCTCATTCTACTGGGTCATCAAGGCAGGGCACATGGTAAGGCTCTGCTTTTGTTATGGAGGCAAGGCATGTGGTAAGGGCCCATGTGTGACTTTGGCGAGGGGAAGCTCTAATTCTGAGTCTCTGATGGGAATACAGTGTGTGACACACCTGCATTGGACTCTGCATTCGATACAGTGCCTTTCACAGCAGGAGGACATTCAAAGCACTTCACAGGATTTACTGTAAAATGTAGTGATTGTGTATTTTGCATGTGAACGTAATGGGGAAAGGCAGCAAGAGGGAGACTGGCTTTAATAAATGGGAAACCAACCTCTTGCTCCCTCTGATCTGCTTCAGGTTCCGTCCGACCAGGGAGAGATGGCGCTGAAGATGCTACGAATGATAACCAGACAGGAGTAGCATGTTCCAACCAGTAGGGATGGACGGTCATTGGAACAGCCAAGATTTGTGGGATGACAAATTAATGCATTGTGCAGAATTTTACATTGGGAATGGGATTATACTTGTAATCCAAGTTAATTATTGGGAACTGTAGTAATGTACCCCTATGGCAATTCATACTCTTAACTTCCTGAGGTTCTTTGATGGAACTGGATTTAATGCTAATAAAAACTATTTTAAGATAACTTGTGATTTTCTGTGGGCAGCATAATAAACTGTTCACTCCAGTGAAGTGGAGTGTGCTTCCGTGGATGTAGTCCACCTCATTGACCCTTAACTGTCCTTTCCACTCCACATTCGTGCCATGACTTGCTCTGCTTTCCCCCACTTCTGCAACATCACCCGCCTCCGCCGTTGCCTCACTCCTCAGGGCACCGAAATCCTCATCCAGGCATTTATTACATCTAGGCTCGACTACGCCAACTCCCTGCTTGTCAGCCTTCCTAACTCTTCCTTCCACAAGCTGCAGATCATCCAGAACTCCTCAGCTCGTGTCCCCTCCTGAACCAGGCTCCGTGACCCCATCCCCACCCTCACCTGGTGCCACTGGCTCCCCATCCCCCAAAGGATAGAGTTCAAAATCTTCATCCTCTCTTTCAAGGCCCTCTACGGCCTTGTTCCTTACCTCTGTGCCCTACTAACCCCGTATCAACTTGTCCACTCAGCAGCCTGCTGCACGTCCTCCATTTGATCTATCTCACCATCAGCAATTGGTCCTTCTGCCTGCACCCCTTAGTCTCTTAGCCTCACTCCCTCCCTTGCCTCCTTCAAGGCATGTTTCAAGATCCTCATTCCTCCACATTTTCGGCGCTTACCCTCCCTGTCCACCACCCCACTGATTCCAACCCCGTTAGGGTCCAAATCCCCAGCTCCTTGGGACATCCTCCCGACCCAAAAAACGCTTTACAAATGTAAGTTGTTGTTGCTCATGGAATGTCATTACAAAATGCTGAAAGGTTTTGTTCAGTTAAGTAACGTTAGGCTAGCAAGTCACTAACTGGAGAGAGATTATTGGAAAGTCCAGGTTTATTAGTGGAATATTGGAATGCCCTCCCCAGAATAGTGCATTCAGCAGAATTATACCGAAATGTTTTTAAGACAGAATTGGGTTAATGTTGAAAAAGAGAACAAGGCTTCGGAAGGATAGAACTCGGCCTCTTCACAGGGTTTCATTTTGAAGGTTTTTTTCTCGTTTTGTTTTAAATCATCAGCTATTTTGTGGAGTTCACCTGCAGTAAGACAAATCGCTCCTGGCCATGGTTTCCCTGTTAGTGATGGGAACTCGTATAGACAGTCACTTATTGCGGTGGCGAATGTTGCCTCTGGTTGCTGTGGAGGCTGGCATGGGTATCGCAGCAACAGTGGAGTCCTGTAGCTCAGTGGTTAGAGCACTCGCTTTGCAAGTGAGAGACCTGAGTTCAATTCCAGGCAGAGGGCCAAACCTTGGGCAAGTTTCCTTACTCCACACAGAGCCTAATAATAATCCCTCCAAAACCAACAACAATAATAAATTGGTCATTTTCAATCCACGACTGTTTGTGGGACATTGCTGTGCGCAATTGGCTGCCGCGTTCGCCCACAAATATACAGTCAATTCACTTTACAGTGTGTTCTGTGAAGCGCTTTGGGACGTCCTCCCGACGTGAAAAGCGCTATATCAAATGCAAGGATTATTATTATTATAACTTCCCAGAGACAATAAATTATACTCTGCAGCATCCTATAGCCCTGATTCCCGGTGGAAATGGGTTAAGGATGTGTTCTGCAGATCACTCCAACCAGAAAGCCAGTGACCAGATAGAACTATCTCAGTTGTACCTTCTCCCTCCTCGTTGGGGCACACTGAGTTGATGTGTGCTGTGTCTCAGATATCTCACCCTCACCTCACATCACAGTCAGATGGGTGGCTGCTGCTCGCTGTGGAGTCCTATAGCTCAGTGGTTAGAGCACTCGCTTTGCAAACGAGACACCTGGGATCAATCCCCGTCAGAGGGCGAAACCTTGGGCAAGTTTCCTTACTCCACACAGAGCCTAATAATAATCCCTCCAAAAACAATAATAAATTGGTCATTTTCAATCCACGACTGTTTGTGGGACATTGCTGTGTGCAATTGGCTGCCGCGATCGCCCACAAAATATACAGTCAATTCACTTTACAGTGTGTTCTGTGAAGCGCTTTGGGACGTCCTCCCGACGTGAAAAGCACTATATCAAATGCAAGGATTATTAGTATTATTGCCCAATTGTCTCAAAGTACTTTGTCCCGCACCAGGCTTCGTGATCACATCACTCCCACCCTCGCTCGCCTCCACCGGCTCCCCATCCCCCAGAGGATCAAATTCAAGATCCTCATCCTCATTTACAGAGCCATTCCCGGCCTCGCTCCCTCCTACCTCTCCGACCTACTATCCCCCTACCTACCTGCCCGTACCCTCCGTTCCTCTGGCTCCGGTCTGCTCCACATCCCCGCCCCAACCGCCCGACCATCGGTGGCCGAGGCTCTGGAACTCTATCCCCAGTGCCTTCGCCACTTCCTCCCTCTCCTCCTTCAAGGCCGGTGTCAAGACCTTTCTCTTTGACCTTCAGCCTTCAGCTCTCCTCGCGACTCTCTACCCCCTCCTCGCCCCCTCCCTTCCCTCCCCTCCCCCTGACTATCTCCCCCCTCCTCGCTCCCTCCCTTCCCTCCCCTCACCCTGACCATCTCCACCCTCCTCGCTCCCTCCCTTCCCTCCCCTCACCCTGACCATCTCCCCCCTCCTCGCTCCCTCCCCTCACCCTGACCATCTCCCCCCTCCTCGCTCCCTCCCTTCCCTCCCCTCACCCTGACCATCTCCCATCTCCTCGCTCCCTCCCTTCCCTCCCCTCACCCTGACCATCTCCCCCCTCCTCGCTCCCTCCCTTCCCTCCCTTCACCTGACCATTTCCCCATTGCTCGGGTCCCGACCTAACTGTCCAGCGCCTTGGGGCGTCCTCCCAATGTGAAAGGCGCGCTATAAATGCAATCTTGTTGTTGTTGTTTGTGGTGGTGGATGGGCAGCTGAGCTCGGGATCGCAGATGAACAAAAGTACAAGCAAACAGGTCCGTTTTGAGATGGATGGACACAGAGAGAGGAAGCGGAGGGACTCCAGGATGGACTGTCTGATAGCCCGGCTGCAGATAGTGGGGTGACCGCCAGTGTTCGTTTATTATTATCAGTTATAAACTTGTGCTTTACAAATATTTTTTTTGTTAATTCTTGAATTTAATACAGCGCCATATCATGTCTTCGAGACGTCTCAAAGTGCTTCACAGAATATACTGTAACGGTGAATTGACTGTACTTTGAGGGCCACAGTCTTGGATCGATTATTAAAAAATTACCACTGGAAATCGCCAATCCACAAACTACTGAGTGCTGAGTCAGAGGCTGTGGAGTAAGGAGTTGTCTGAGGTTTCACTGCTGAGAATCCAACCGATCCTCAGCTCCGCGACTCCGCAAATCAGACCCTCAGTCAGTGCTGAGGGTCAGTGCTGAGGGTCAGTGCTGAGGACGGGTCCGATCGGCCGTCCATTGGCGACTCGCGCTCTCCCTCAGTTGATGCCGATGGTTCTCCGCCCTGTGACGGCGCTGCAGTTTCAGGGTCAGTTTCCCGAGTTTCGGTTTCGGTCACTCGGTGCTGTTGGCAATATGGCGGCGTCTGTGTCCCCTCTGTGCGGTCTGGAGGAGGACCTGACCTGCTCCATCTGTCTGGGAGTGTTCGAGTTCCCGGTCACGGTGCCGTGCGGCCACAGCTTCTGCCTGAGCTGTCTGCAGCAGTTCTGGTGTGGGGACCGGCAGTTCCTGCTCGGCTTCACTTGCCCCCAATGTCGCACCGCTTTCACCACGAAACCGGAGCTGAAGAAGAACAATGTGCTGTGCACTGTGGTGGAGGAGTTCCTGCGGTCCCGAAACCCCCCCGAATGTTCGCCCGAAAAGCAGCTCCAACAACCGGGGGACGTGGCGTGTGACTCGTGCCCTCCGCGGGGCAACAGGGCGACCCGCACCTGTCTGACCTGTATGGCCTCCTTCTGCCCCAATCACCTGGAGCCGCATCAGAACAGCGCCGCCTTCCAGAGCCATCAGCTGCGGGAGCCGCTCCGGGACCTGCAGGAGAGGAAGTGCGAGGAACACAGTAAAATCCTGGAGTTCTTCTGTGAGGAACATTCCAAGTGCATCTGTTCCCTCTGTCTCCTGTCCCACAAACTGTGCCGCACCGCCTCCATGGAGGACACGAAGAAGGATAAAGAGGTAAAAGGGAGGAAGTCTCCAGCGCTTTACACAGGGAAACAGGGAAAGGTGGACTGGGAAGGAGAGAGAGGGACGCGGAGATCAATTAATTTTCAATGAAATGCCCGTTCAGCAAGTTTATTAATGTCTTCTAATTTCTTACAGTCCCCCCTCAGTATTAACTACATTCTCCAATTTGGTGTCATCTGCAAATTTTGAAATTGTACTTTTGATCTCTGAGTCCAAATTGTTAATGTAAATCGTGAACAACAGTGGGTCCCAAATACTGGTCCTGGTGGAACATCTGGGCCCACCCTCTGCCAGTCTGAGGAGCTACCCTTTACCCCTACTCTCTATTTTCTGTCTTGGTGCAGCTTGCTATCCATTCTGCTACTTTTCCCCTGACACCACATGCTCCGACCTTATTCATTAATCTATTAGGCAGTACCTTATCGAACGCCTTTGGAAATATAATTAATAATAATAATTCTTGCGTTTGATATAGCGCTTTTCACGTGTTCGAGGCGTCTCAAACCGCTTCACAGAATATACTGTAAAGAGAATTAATTGCATATTTGTGGGCGAAACATGGCAGCCAATTGTGCACAACAGTGTCCCACAAACACTCGTGGATTGAGTGACCGAATTATTTTTTTTTAAGGATCATTATCCCCGGAAAAGTGATCTGCAAATTGACTAACAACCGGGTTCCTTCTTACTGCTAGGTAAACGGAGGGGTGTGGAATAAGAAAACTTGCCCAGCATTTCACCCTGCCAGGATTAGAACCCAGGTCTCTCATTGAAGGCAAGAGCTCTAATCACTGAACTACAGGACTCCAAATATATTATATCTATTGCTGCATTACCCTTATTTACTCTTTCTGTTACCTAGTCAAAGAAATCAATGAGGTTGGTCAAGCATGACCTTCCTTTGAAATATTCTCTCAGTGGGCAAAGGCCTTGCTCAGGGGAACCTTGTGTCTGTCTCTTTGTCAGCAACAAGTATTTGTAACTCAATATTATCCTCTCCAAGGCTAAACTGCAGCAGGAGCAGAGGGATGTGGAATATCGGATCATGAGCGTACAGCATAGCATGGAGAGGGTGAATTTCCAGACAGAACACCTTAAAGTAAGTGTGTACAGGTGTCACGGTGAGTTTGAGCGGGCGGTTCGCACGTTTGATACAGTTGATCACGCCACCCTCATCCACTGCCTCTCCTCCCTCATCCACCTCAGAAGGACCGCACTAGCCTGGTTTGAATTCTACCTGACAAACTGCCGTCACTTTGTCTTTTCAAACGGTTTCTCCTCCCACCCCCGCCCAGTCGCCTGTTGTTGTACCCCTGGACTCCATCCTTGGACCCCTCCTCTTCCTCATTTACATGCTCCTTTTGGCGTTGTCATCCGCAGACACTGGACAAACTTCCACATGCATGCGGATGACATCTAAATCTACTTCTCCTCTCCAGGTCTGCCGATGTTCTGTTGGCTTGTCTGGCAGACATCAGGGCCTGGATGAGTCCAGACTTCTTGCCAGATGGAAGCCATACGCCTTGGCTCCCATCAACATCTTCTGTACTGTGGCTCTGACTCCTCAATCTCCCCAGCCTATCCCTCGGACTCAATGAAATGGTGCACAACCTAGACGTCAGTTTCAACCCACAGCTGTGCTTTCTTCCCCACATCTGGTCCCCGACCAGGACCGGCTTCCTCCACCACATTGTCTTCCTCCGACCGTACCTTACCCCAGACACAGACGAAACACTCGTCTTTGTGTTTGTCACCTCCTGACTCGACATTTCAAATGCCCTCTTTGCCAGTCTACCCAGTTCCACAAGATCCAGTTGATCCCAAACTCTGTCACCTGCATAGTAACCCGTACTAAACTCTGTACACCCATCACACTAGTTCTGCCAGGCTCCACTGTCTCTCTATCGCCGAACAGATTGATTTCAAGATCCTCACTCTCGTTTTCAAATCCCTTCATGCGCTGGCACCTCCCTACTTCTCTAAGTTGGCTTACTCCCCAACCCACTACCCGCTGCCTCCACTCGGTTGGCTAAGGCTGCCTGCATGTCCCTCATGCTGTCAGTTCCACCATCAGTGGCTGCGCTTTCAGCCACTATGACCCGAAACTCTGGAACTCTCTTCCTGTATCCTTCCACCTTACCCTTCCTTCCCCATCTGGGCGTTGAGGCTAGATAGGGCAGAGCTGAATTAGTGCTGAAGTTTAAAGTGTGGATTCGCCCCCTCCCCCAGGAATCAGCTGTGAAACAGAAAATGTTGTTCTCAATGGAATTTAATGAGATGAAAATGGCAATCGAGGAAGAGGAGAAAACTGCGTTCAGGCTGATTGAAGAAGAAGAGAGATTAGCCAACAAGCAAGTCAACAGCATCCTGGGTAAAATGACCATTCAACTGTCTGAGCTCAAGCAATACCGAGAGCAGTTGGGGGCCGTGCTGTCACACACTGAAGGCATGGGCTTCTGGAAGGTACAAAACAATTCACTACTGCCAGGTGCAGTGTGCGTGTGTAACTTTTGTGTGTGGGTGTGTATATTGTATCAATGGCAATACTCCTGTGTGTACACCACATGTCAATCAAAAAGGAATAATTTGGAAGAATGTAAGTGTGAACAACGACTTGCATTTCAAATGTGAAGACTGCTGCAGGAATAAAATAAAATCTTGTGTTAATGTGATGTCAGGCTCTGTGCGGAGTGAGCGAGCCTATGCCGGGGCAGTGTGAGCCACCAGAGCAGATTGTGCTGGACGGCAAACGGCTGGAGCTGCTGGGAAAAGCCGTGGCCTCCCTGCGAGAGACGGTCAAAGGTCAGATACACTCACAGATTGAGAAGAGACTCAGGCGGCTGGCAGGTAAGCCTGAGGGTGGGGTGGGACGGTTTGCGCTGCTTCTGCTGGAATGTGATGCCAACTCACTGTGATGTCCACCTGTTCCTACAGCATCTTCGGAGCCCGAGGAATCTGTTTGCACCCCCAGAGAATCAGCTCCACTGAGGGAATACGTTCCACCGAAAATACCAGCCCAACCCAGTAAAGCAGCGAAGGATAAAACCAAACCTAGTGAGTGTTGGGGAGGAGTGCTTTTGGTGGGGGGGGGGCTTGGGATGGAGGCCAAATAGATGAAGCTGTGAGGCATTTAATCCTCTCCCTTTTATGCAGAGAAAATAAAGCCGAGAAATTCATGCAATCAGGACCAAATTGGAGTTACACCAGAGAGCTGTGGTGAGTGATGCCAACACGTGCGCCTGCGCCTCACCCTTTGATAAACCCCACATGTACCCACTCCCTAGTGGGTCCACATTCCCTGCCTGCCAGGTGGGGAAATCCCACATTCCCCACCCCCCCCAGGTTGGTTCGAGTGTGATTGCTGAGCTGGGTTTACACAGTGGTCAGCATTCCATGCTTCTGACGGATGTTTTTGAGGATGATGGAAAGTCACAATTAAAGCAGTGTGATTCTCGTCTCTCCTCTCAAAGGCAAAGGCAGCAACTCACAACCAAGCAGTGGACCATTGGTGAACACCAGCCAGCAAATACCACGTTCGAGCAAGGCTTCCCCGAGGACCAGGGAGGATTTCCTGAAATGTGAGTAATTGTGGAGCGAGCGAGTGCCTGCTTGTGTGGTTTGTGAGGGTCACCGTTCCTTGAGGATCATGTCGCACCTCCAATGCTGACCGACTTCCTCTTCTCTGCAGACATCTTCAAAGTGACCTTCAACCATCGCACTGCCCACAAGCGGCTTGTACTGAGCGATCACTACACTCGGCTGTCTGTGGCCGAACAGCCTCAGCCCTACCCGGACATCCCTGAGCGCTTTACCCACAGCTCCCAGGTGCTGGGGTTCCAGGGGATGGTGAGTGGCCGGTATTACTGGGAGGTGAGCAATAATGGGCAAAGCTTCTGGAGTGTCGGCATCTCCCGCAGGGATATTGAGCGGAACGGAGCACAGAGCCGGCTAGGCAGGAACCAGGTGTCCTGGTGTTTGGAGGCATGGGGATCGAAGCTGTGCGTCTGGCATAACGAGCGGGAGACCGTGCTTAAGCCTCCTCAGCCCCTGGTGATCGGTCTGTACCTGGACCTGGATGGGGGGTCACTGACCTTCTACTCCGTGGCTGACCGGATGGTGTTCCTCCACCGCTTCCCTGTGCTCCTGGGCCAGGAGCTCTTCCCTGCCTTCTGGGTGTTTTCCAACAACACAACACTCATGCTGGGGCCACGTGCACAGACCCCACTGCTGCACAGCCACAACACTTCATAGAAAACTGTCACAAACACTTTGAGACACTAATCAAGGAATATTATAAATATAATCATTTGAGTTTAGTAACTGGAGGAGACATTTTGCCTATCAAGCCTGTTCCATCAATTAAATTGATGATCCCCCTTCCCTGCCAATTCTCTATTCCCTTTAATGACTTTGCTCCACAAAAACCTGTCTCTCAATTTTTGAAGTGAAGTTTTCAGTAAGTGACACTAATTGGCACAAAATACAGTCACTGTACATTACAATATAACCTGTGAAGCACTTTGGGACAAAGCTTGAAAGGCTTTATACCAAATGTAAGGATTATTACCTACTGGGGGAGGTAAGAGGGTGTTCTTGGAGCTGAACTGGCCCCAAGGTGACATACCCATTAACGGAATTTCAGAATCAAGCCAGCCCTCTATGTCGGTCTCTAGTCCGGTTCCTGAGCCAGGTGGGTCTGCAATAATCTAGGGCACTGCTGATGACAGCATAGACCAGCCTGGCTTGTCAGCAGGACCTGTAAGGGCAGACCAGTCACTGGGGGCAGCGAGTCATCCCCCTCAGCTCCTATTAACCCTGCCTCCAAAGCCCTAATGGGTAGGGCGGACCTAGCTGGACAAGCAGTGGGAAAACTTGCCAGACAGCAATATCAATGGCCAAAGCTCGGTGGTTTTAGCTGGTTAGACTCCCAACAGTTATCCCAACGCACACTCTGCGTTCCCCCCCAAGGCTTGGCTCTTGCCAACCTGCGCCGAAAACGTTCCGGAGTAAGGTGAGGATGCATCCCTCCAGGGAGAGAGTGAACATCCCATTACAATTATCTCTGGGATTTCCATGTGTAGGGGGATGCATGGAATTCTCAATTTGGTTTGGAGACTCTTAAGCAGGTGATGGGTTTCTGCATGTCGAGCGACGGGACACCAGTTGACCAAAAAAAATTATCCAGAAAGCTTTCTGAGATGTTTGTGATAAAAATGCTGTGTTGAATGGAAAGCTTTTTGTTGCAATTCTCAGGTGGTGTGAGCTGAGTGTTTCACTTCAAGCTCTTGTGTTTGCCTCTCTGTAAATCTATCTCTGCTCAATAAACAGTTGATTAAATGGCCCAGCTCCTGTCTCCCAAGTGTAATATGAGATACAGAAAACACCTGTCTGGACACCACTACATAAACAATGTGTGTCAGAGTTCACAACAGACTTGCTGCCGTGCACTGCAACCCCCACCCACCCCCCACCGAAAGTTTCAGTAATACAGATTCCTGGAGATGTGCAGAGAGAGACACTGACACACTGATAGGATGAAAACTGGGTCAGACAGTTTTCCGACTGTATTTCAGTGTTTAACTCACAAAATACCTTGCATTTCAGTGCGTGAAATATCCTATCTCTATTTGTACAGTATTCTGGAATATACACTCTGAACAATAGGTCCCATAGCGCACATACAGTCAGGGGGGGAGGGGAGGGCGGTGGTCACCGGGTGTATCAGACACACGTCTCTCCAGCGATATCACTTGTGAGAGATGTCAGGCGTCAGTCTGGAATGTGATGGTCTCTCCTCGCCTCAGCCTCAGTGAAGCACATTGTGGACTTGAAGTGGGCCGAGCGTGAGGGGGACAAACACACACACAACTACCAGTGCGGGGAAGGCAGAGGAGCTGAGCTCAGCAACAGAGCATCAGACCTCACTGACACCGGGGGACAACACACCAGCCCCCCCAACCCCCCACAGTGACAACACACCATCCCCTCCCCTCCCCCCAGTGACAACACACCATCCCCTCCCCCCAGTGACAACACACCATCCCCTCCCCTCCCCCCACAGTGACAACACACCATCCCCTCCCCTCCCCCCAGTGACAACACACCATCCCCTCCCCTCCCCCCACAGTGACAACACACCATCCCCTCCCCCACAGTGACAACACACCATCCCCTCCCCTCCCCCCACAGTGACAACACATATGTTCAGTACATCACATGACTCTTAAATAAACTTTTTTAAAAAAAATGAAATATTAGCGAGCGCTCAGTCTCAGGGCAGGAACCAAACTCACAACATCTCGTCCACAAAAACCTCCACTCGGCTGAGATCAGACACTAGAGTTCTAAAGTCTGACATTGGGCAGAGGGATCGGGGCTGGTGTAGAAGCCCTCCAAACACTGGACCTCCGCGGGGTGGTGTGGGGGGGAACGAGACCCCAGGTCCTGTTGTGCTGCTACCTAGTCGTTGGGCCTCACCCCCCCCACACACCCAAGCACATGTTCTACACTGATTCAGGGTATCCACCAGCCACTCAGCCCCGACCTCAGCTGCTTCCCCTCCCCCTGCACGGCTGCCGTCAGTCACTCCATCTCGGTCTCAGAATGACTTGAATCCTCCTCATCCGAGTGCTCACCCGCATGAGCAACCATCAGGGCCTGCGTTTTGTGTGTAATCACAATGGTGCAGGGTCCCTGCGCCCAGGGCTCCCCATCCACCTGCATCGGCATCGACCCACTTCTCAGCACCAGCTGTGGACAAAGACAGGGTAAACGTCAGTGGTCAGACACCCCCCAAAGCCCCACCCAATCCCCTGCCTCCACACAGCCCCAAACCCCACTCCCCCTCCCCTCGCAGCCCCAACACCCCGGCCTCTAACCTTCACAGCCCCCCACACAACCCAAATACTCTCCCCCACAACCCCAAACCCCACCACCCTGCCCTCCACACAGTCCAAACGCGACATGCACTGACACATACCGACACATATCGACACGCGTGGTTACTCACTCTGACAGTGTGAGCCTGGCCCAGCCGCACCGGGTTCGCCAACTTCACCTGAATCTGAGCGCAGTGAAACGAGCCGTAAACACCCACAACCTCCAGCAGCCCGTCATCACAGCTACACAAGAGCAGGCTTTTAGTCAGTCACACAGTCCAATCCCCTACTGCCCCACGCTTCACCCCCTACTGCCCCACGCCTCACCCTCTGCCCAGCCCTATCCTGATCCACAACGCCTCTACTGTCCCACCCCCACCACTCACCCTCTACTTCCCCGCTCCTTCCCCTACTGTCCCGCCCCTCAACCCCGCTGCCCGCACCCACCTGGCCTGTGGGTACGGCTCGTCGCCCATCCCCTCCCACAGACGGCAGCCGCCACCCCAGTAGCTGATGTTCAGGATGATGATGCCCTCCAGCCTCGGCAGCTGCACCCGCTCCCCGTCCAGCTCCAACTGCACAGACAGTCACAGCGGCTCAGCAACCAGCGTCAGCACAGAGACAACATACAGCCACCCTGGGGGATACACAGGCCTTCCTCCCATGGGTCACCCAGCCTCCTCCCTCAAGGTTACATAGCCCCTCCCGCTTTGGGGTTACGCGGCCCCTCGCCCTGGGGTCATACACAGGTAGGGGTGGAGGACATAGGTAGGGGGGTTTGGGGAGAGGATCTGACCTCAATTTTCTGGTCCAGGTCCTTGCAGGCTTGCACAAGACAGTCTTTGGTCCCGTAGAAGAAGTAAACAGCCTGTGAGAGGGAGCGAGAAACAGAGACTGTGAGACTGAAAGAGAGTGTGTGCGAATATTTGTGGGAGAGAGAGTACATGTGAGAGTGAGAGATTGAAAGAGAGAGGGGCTGGGGTCGGAGGGGGCATAATAATAATAATAATAATCCTTGCATTTGATATAGCGCTTTTCACGTCGGGAGGACGCCCCAAAGCGCTTCACAGAACACACTGCAAAGTGAATTGACTGTATATTTGTGGGCGAACGCGGCAGCCAATTGCGCACAGCAATGTCCCACAAACAGTCGTGGATTGAAAATGACCAATTTATTATTGTTTTGTTTTGGAGGGATTATTATTAGGCTCTGTGTGGAGTAAGGAAACTTGCCCAAGGTTTGGCCCTGACCCCCCGGGGATTGAACTCAGGTCTCTCACTTGCAATGTGAGTGCTCTAACCACTGAGCTACAGGACTCCACATGGGAGGCTGAGGGCGGGGCATGGTAGCCGGGGGGGCACGGGCCATGGAGGCACGGCATGGGGTAGGGTTGGGGCAGGCGGTGGGGCCTGGAGCTGTGCGCGTGAGGCAGGCTGTGCCACAGGTGGTCGTCAAAGGAAACCCACCTTGTTGACGAGGCGGCTGGAGAAGAGGGAGGGGCTCCGCTGTCGCTGCTGGTGGAAGTTCAGCGCCATCAGAGCATCCGGCCCGATCGAGAAATAATTGTTCATTGATAAAACCTGCCAGAAACCAGAGAGTGAGCCCCCCACCCCCACAGGCACACGCAGCACCCCCAACGCCCACGCACACAGGCAGGGCCCCACCAACACCCCTGCGCTTGCGCATATGCTCACCTCCTGCACACGCGACCACATCCACAACCCCCACCCCTGGATCCTCCACATGCACGTGCGCTCCCCCCCCCACACACACATGCACGCGCGACCCTCCCCACACACGCGGATCCCCCCACACACACGCGCGGATCCCCCCAACACACACAATCCCCCCCACACACACACACGAACCCCCCACACACACGAACCCTCCCTCCCACACACACACACACGGATACCCCCCGCACTTACCGTTGCTCTATAAAAGCCCTTGGTCACTCGCACCTTCCATCTATGGAAGACAATGACAAATACAATTACCACAACCCGCCGACCGCACACCCCACCACACCAAGCCAACATCTCACTTCTCCAAGCCCTCCCCCCCACCCCAGTGCTCACCGGTCCAGCCAGACGCTGTGTCCCTGTAGAACCTGACGGAGAATGTCCTGCACCGAAAGATCGCCAGCGTAGCCCCCTCCCCAGCCCAGCGTCTGCGACAGGTCGTTGCCGGTGCCGAGGGGCAGAATGGCGACGTGTGGTACCAGCTCCTCCTCACCCTGCACCAGGCACAACACCACCACATTAACCCTGGACAATCAGCACCTTCTTCACCCGCCACAGCGGTCATTAATAAACAGTCCCTGCAACTAACCTCCACCCACCACCCCCACCAGCCATAATAATCCTTGTATTTGATACAGCGCCTTATCACATCTTCAAGATATCTCAAAGCGTTTTACATCTGCACTGTAAAGTGGAGTAACCGTACATTTTCTGGGCAGAACATGGCAGCCAATTGCACACAGGAGTGTCATGGATTGAGTGACCAAATATATTTTTTTATATATATCTTTTGGAGGATTATTACCTCCAGAAAGAGATCCCCCAGTTGATTGACTGTCACCGAAGTTCCTACTTACTGCTGGGTAAACAGGCGTGTGGTGTAAGGAAATCATTACACTACAGGGTCAGTCACTGAGCTCAAAGCGGCTCGTGCTACTCACCTTCATCTTCATATCATCAATGGCATTGAGGACCCAACCCACGGTGCCGTCGCCTCCGCACACCAGTACCTGCACCGAACGGGGGGGCAGCAGGCGGCACAGCTGCAGGGCTTTGCCCGGGGGCACTTCACTCAGGTCCACAACCTGTGGAGAAGCCAACATTTAACAGACTTGTCTTGGGATTTGAGCATTTCCCTGTCAGCAAAAAAAATCCGTAATTCTCCCCCAGCAGCAAAATATCCATCTAAAATACTCACACCACCCACCACATACACCCACAAACGCAACACACATGCACAACGTAAGCATGGTGATAGGCTTCCATATGTCATGACACCCGGCTGACTCCCAAAAACATACACATAGACGCGCGTGTTTGCACATACAGACACACAAATACATATGTGCATACACACAAACACACGTGTATTCAACAATCACAGTGTGTGCCGCCTATTCTGGGAATGGTGCGGGAGGTGCAGGCGAGTTACCTGTATGGGGTTGAGGAGCATTCGGAACTCCCCGAGCAGACCTTCCCCCATGTTGTTGCCGCTCCGGCTGTTGGCCAGGATGAGGACCGGAGTCCAGTGCTCTGGGCACATGGCTGTGAGCTGCAACAGGACACACAGAGGGTGGCAGATACGTGTCAGAGTGTGCGAGGAGTTACAGCGTGAGTGTGTGTGCGTGTGAATGAGGGTCAGTGTGAGTGAGTGTGTAAGGAGTTATAACCCGGGTGAGTGTGAGCAGTGGGTGAGCAGTGTGTTAGTGAGTGTGGCAGCACTGACCTGTGGGGAGGCGGCTGCGCGCCCCCTGCTGACCAGGTAGAGGTATTGCGGTGGGACGATGACCCGGCGAAAGTGGCCCAGGTCACAGCGCGAGGGCAGCGCCGCCACGCAGTCATCGTGCGCCACCTGCTGGCACCAGGCGCAGCGCAGGTCACACAGGCGCGGCTGGGTCCCGCACTGCAGGCGGCACACGGCGCACAGGCTGAGCAGCGGCACGTTGCCGCGCACCCAGTGATGGTTCAGGCTGCCGTCCGGGCGCGGCACCAGCGCCACCTCCTTACATTTGAGCTGCCTGTCGGCCTGGGACAGGCAAGTGTCGTCCACACACACGCCGCAGCACAGGCAGCTGGCGCCCTGCAGGGCGGGCAGGCCGCACAGGCAGCAGTAGGTGGGTTTGCTGAACAGGTCTGTGCAGTGCCAGCTGTGCCTGCTGCCCCGCGCGCTGTCCCGCAGCTGTGCCCAGCGCTGTGCCCGCCGCGCGCTGCCCCACCAGCTCAGCAACACCGGCACCAGCACCGCCACCAGCGTCCACAGCACCAGGCCGCACCCCGGCCACAGCCACAGCCAGTCCGGCCCAGGCTCGCCGGCCATCACACTGCCCAGCGCACACAGGGCTCCGCCTGGCGGGGGCTGCAACTTGAGGAGGCGGCGTTCATGCTGGGGGGGGGGTACTGGCCCCGGGCTGTGAGTGCCGGGCCCCTGGGGGTTCAATGCCGGGATCCCGGGCGGTGGGTACCGGCCGAGGCCGAGGCCGCAGGCAGCTCCCGCTGGTTGTCCATCCCCCGGGCAGGGCCGCGCTGCGGGTGGAAAGTCGCTGCAGGAAGAGGAGCGGAAGCAGAGACAGACAGACAGGAAGTTGGGATGACGCTGCAGTGACGGAGGCCGGCGGTCCCGCCCCTTACCCGGCGCCTGACGTCACGACCATGGTTGCTAGGAGACGGAAGTGGCTGCTCAGGGCAGTGTCTGTGGAGAGAGAAAAGTGTGCGAAGGTCATGGACCTGAAACCCCCTCCGGATACCGCTGATCAGCTCAGGTCAGATCAGCTCAGGTCAGATCAGCTCAGGTCAGATCAGCTCAGGTCAGATCAGCTCAGGTCAGATCAGCTCAGGTCAGATCAGCTCAGGTCAGATCAGCTCAGGTCAGATCAGCTCAGGTCAGGTCAGCTCAGGTCAGCTCAGATCAGGTCAGATCAGGTCAGATCAGGTCAGGTCAGATCAGCTCAGGTCAGATCAGGTCAGATCAGATCAGCTCAGGTCAGATCAGCTCAGGTCAGATCAGCTCAGGTCAGGTCAGCTCAGATCAGGTCAGATCAGGTCAGCTCAGGTCAGATCAGCTCAGGTCAGATCAGCTCAGGTCAGGTCAGCTCAGATCAGGTCAGATCAGGTCAGGTCAGATCAGCTCAGGTCAGATCAGCTCAGGTCAGATCAGCTCAGGTCAGGTCAGCTCAGATCAGGTCAGATCAGATCAGGTCAGGTCAGATCAGATCAGGTCAGGTCAGGTCAGGTCAGCTCAGATCAGGTCAGATCAGATCAGGTCAGGTCAGATCAGATCAGGTCAGATCAGCTCAGATCAGGTCAGATCAGATCAGCTCAGATCAGGTCAGATCAGGTCAGCTCAGCGGCATCTATATTGTTACTGTATCACCTCAGCCCATTGCCGGCAATAACAGCCCTCACCTCACTTTGCCAAACAAATGCTGTGCGCAATGGGCGGCCGCTTTTCACCCACAAATTACACAGTCACTACACTTTATAGTATATTCTGTGAAGCGCTTTGAGATTTTTCAACAACATTATAAGGTGCTGTATCAAATGCCAGGATTATTATTATTATATTCCCTCACTTCACCCTCTATCTCGAACCGCCCCTCCCAACTCCCACCCCGTTTGGACTGTTCCAAATACGCAGTTGTGAGTGTGAGTGTGAGCCTGACAGTGAATATGAGCATCACAACCCTCATTCCTCAATGGGAGTGTGTACACACAGTGTAGAGGAGCTTTACTGTGTCTCTAACCCTGACCTGGGAGTGTGTACACACAGTGTAGAGGAGCTTTACTGTGTCTCTAACCCTGACCTGGGAGTGTGGACGCACAGTGTAGAGGGAGCGTTACTGTGTCTGTAACCCATGTTTACTCCATCACTGAGCACTGGCATCCTACTGTGTGTAACTCCAAAACTGACACACTCCTGTAGGAGGAGGGGAAAGGAGACCCAGACTCAGTTTTTCACACGGAGCTGGAGTCAGGCATCGTCAGCCCTGCCAAGTGTCCAGAGGTTATGAAAACAGCACACGGTGACGTGGTACTTTATAGCCTCTTGTGTGAGCCAGACTGGCATTGCCGGGCGTGGAGCACACACAGACACTGACGGAGACTGTGAATAGAAAGATGAGAAGTTTTGTGCCTTTGTGCCTCACTCTGCTCCTCATGGCTGGTGTGATGGGTAAGCCTGAACCTCAGTACTCAGAGAACCCTAATATTCATTTTGAGTAAAAGTACTGTGTATTATTTGGGAAATGTAATTTTTAAAAATTAAACATAGTGGATTACTTTTTGCTGCGAATATTACAGGAGATCCAAAGGTGTAAATATAATGTTAGTGTGTTTCTAGAGATTAATAAATCTAGCATTAACCTAGTGTTGAGAGGCTCTGTGTGTGGGGTTAGCAATGGCACTTGGTTTGGGGCTGTGTCACGATAAACACTCTGTGCTCTGTCTCTGTCATTTTGGCTTTCTGTTCTGCCTGAGCTGAGCTCAGCAAGACTGGGCTGAGCAGGGCTAGGCTGAGCAGGGCTAGGCTGAGCAGGGCAGGGCTGAGCAGGGCTAGGCTGAGCAGGGCAGGGCTGAGCAGGGCAAGGCTGAGCAGGGCTGCGCTGAGCAGGGCTAGGCTGAGCAGGGCTAGGCTGAGCAGGGCTAGGCTGAGCAGGGCAGGGCTGAGCAGGGCTGCGCTCAGCAGGGCTCGGCTGAGCAGGGCTAGGCTGAGCAGGGCAGGGCTGAGCAGGGCTAGGCTGAGCAGGGCAGGGCTGAGCAAGGCTGCGCTCAGCAGGGCTCGGCTGAGCAGGGCTAGGCTGAGCAGGGCAGGGCTGAGCAGGGCAGGGCTGAGCAGGGCAGGGCTGAGCAGGGCTGCGCTGAGCAGGGCTAGGCTGAGCAGGGCTAGGCTGGGCTGAGCAGGGCAGGGCTGAGCAGGGCAGGGCTGAGCAGGGCTGGGCTGAGCAGGGCTGGGCTGAGCAGGGCTAGGCTGAGCAGGGCTAGGCTGAGCAGGGCAGGGCTGGGCTGAGCAGGGCTAGGCTGAGCAGGGCTAGGCTGAGCAGGGCAGGGCTGGGCTGAGCAGGGCTAGGCTGAGCAGGGCAGGGCTGAGCAGGGCTGGGCTGAGCAGGGCTGGGCTGAGCAGGGCTAGGCTGAGCAGGGCTAGGCTGAGCAGGGCTGGGCTGAGCAGGGCTAGGCAGGGCAGGGCTGAGCAGGGCTAGGCTGAGCAGGGCTGAGCAGGGTTGAGCAGGGCTGAGCAGGGTTGAGCAGGGCAGGGCTGAGCAGGGCAGGGGTGAGCAGGGCTGAGCAGGGCTAGGCTGAGCAGGGCTGAGCTGGGCTGAGCAGGGCTAGGCTGAGCAGGGCAGGGCTGAGCAGGGCTAGGCTGAGCAGGGCTGAGCAGGGCTAGGCTGAGCAGGGCTGAGCTGGGCTGAGCAGGGCTAGGCTGAGCAGGGCAGGGCTGAGCAGGGCTGAGCTGGGCTGAGCAGGGCTAGGCTGAGCAGGGCAGGGCTGAGCAGGGCTAGGCTGAGCAGGGCAGAGCTGGGCTGAGCAGGGCTAGGCTGAGCAGGGCAGGGCTGAGCAGGGCTCGGCTGAGCAGGGCTGAGCAGGGCAGGGCTGAGCTGGGCTGAGCAGGGCTAGGCTGAGCAGGGCAGGGCTGAGCAGGGCTAGGCTGGGCTGAGCAGGGCAGGGCTGAGCAGGGCAGGGCTGGGCTGAGCAGGGCAGGGCTGAGCAGGGCTGAGCTGGGCTGAGCAGGGCAGGGCTGAGCAGGGCTGAGCAGGGCAGAGCAGGGCAGGGCTGAGCTGGGCTGAGCAGGGCAGGGCTGAGCAGGGCTAGGCTGAGCAGGGCTGAGCAGGGCTAGGCTGAGCAGGGCAGGGCTGAGCAGGGCTAGGCTGAGCAGGGCAGGGCAGGGCTGAGCAGGGCTGAGCTGGGCTGAGCAGGGCAGGGCTGAGCAGGGCTAGGCTGAGCAGGGCAGGGCAGGCTGAGCAGGGCTAGGCTGAGCAGGGCTGAGCAGGGCTAGGCTGAGCAGGGCAGGGCTGAGCAGGGCAGGGCTGAGCAGGGCTAGGCTGAGCAGGGCTGAGCAGGGCTAGGCTGAGCAGGGCTGAGCAGGGCTGGTGCATAAAGAAAGCTTTTAGCCGCTCCATTCTCTGTAATGTGATCCTTGCTCCATGAATGGACACTTTGTTGTTTTTTGCGAAATAAAAAATCTTATTAATTGCCACAAAGCAGCACTGATGGAATTGAAACGATGCATCAAAACACTGACACTTTCTCCTCTGTGCTGTCAGACACCTCACCGATCCTGACCGCAAAACAAGCCAACCAACTGCTGAGAAGCAAGCGCAGTGACCGGCAGCTGAAAGCGGGCTTTCCCGACGAACCGATGCGGGTATTTATGCCTCACTGCGCTAATCTGCAGTAAATCCCCACGCACACACTCCACAAAATTGCCAACCTGGCGAGCAGCCAAATTAAATCCGAATCAACATCATAATTGTAGAGTAATTGTGGAGCTCAAAACCTGGTGAGTGTGGGGCAGACTGTAACCGGAGACCCCTCCACTGCACCACAAACACACACATAGCCCCCGCACACACACACACACACACACACACTAACCTGGGACCTGGATGGGGCCCAGATTCCCAGCAAAATATAAATATTATTCTCTGTGAAGAATGTTTGAGATTTTTGAGCTGCAGGCGGTGACGGTGGAGAAGGAGATTCTGGTCGGACCTCGGCTGTTCCTCAGCCCAACAACCAAACCAGGGCATTACCTCAGCAATCCCGATGTTAGCAAAATACAGAATTGTGGTGTAAATAAATAAATACCTGAATCTAATTAACTACAGCTTTGCTGCAGGACTGAGAGGCTGAGAGACCTCAAAGTTTGGAGTGGATACAAAATCAGTTCCATGCTACAATTTCCAGTCAGTCTGTCCGCCACACACACACACAGCCCCCCACCCCCCCCCCACTCACAGCTCCCCCTCTCACTCCACCCTCCCACACACACAGCCCCCCACGCCCCCCCACTCACAGCTCCCCCTCTCACTCCACCCTCCCACACACACAGCCCCCACCCCCCACACACACAGCTCCCCCTCTCACTCCACCCTCCCACATACACAGACCCCCACTCACTCCCCCCACACACACACAGCTCTGCACTTCTCCCCCCCCCCCACACAGCCCTCCACTCCCCCCTCACACACACAGCCTCCCCACTCCCCCCCCACACACAGCCCCCCCACTCCCTCTCACACACGCACAGCCCCCCACTCCCCCCCCACACACGCACAGCCCCCCACTCCCCCCCCACACACGCACAGCCCCCCACTCCCCCCCACACACACATTCACAGTCCGCCCCCCCTTTCATGCTGTGATGCCGTCTCTCTCTCTGCGGCAGGAGTACCTGCTGTACCTGCAGGGTCTGCAGCGCAGGGCGGACGAGCAGCAGTTGGAGCATTGGCTGAACCCTCACTGCAAACCCCACTGTAACAGCAACTGGGTGTCTCCTATCTAACCGACAGCCGCGCACTTGACAGGTACAGACAGCATCCACACTCACTGCAAATACACAGGTCAATCAGCATCAGAGAGAAAGAGCAGAGGTCGGGAAACGTTGGTTTCGCCCCCGTTATTTGCATAGTGGAATTTTTACTGTTAAGGGAAATGACTGTATTTGTTGAGAAACACAGCAATTCCACACAGAAGAAGTGAAAATCTACTATGTACATCCCTTGTGTCTCTCGAGATTGGGTTCCTAGTCCTGTCTTAAGCTAGTTAGTTCCATTACTTACTATGCTTCTCTGCCTGTTGTTTATAATTATTTGTAGCATTTCTTTCCAGACCTTTCCCAGCAAAGCATTGTTAATGTGGGCAGCCACATGTGGGCTGCTTCCTCCCTCTATCAGCATAGCTGTGCATCTTCTCCTTCCAACACCCCTTACCTCAGCCAAGGACTATTCATTGTGAGTGTGGGCACTCAATCCTGTCCTCACACACTCTCCAGCACAGCGTCTCGGCATCAAGAGCAGGAATCTGGGGTTGGTATCTGTACCTGCTGCCTCAGCTGAGATCAGTATCTCAGCAGAGACCAGGAATTCACCAACAATAATGTACACACTTTGTTTCTCCCCCTTTTTTTCGCAGAACCTGATGTCTCCTCAGCCACCGACTCAACTTTCATCATGAAAATGATTTAAAGTAACAATTTCACTTTATAAAGTTTCCCATTTATGCTCATTAGTAACAAGCTTTGCACCTGCCATATTTCAATCCTTTCGAGCCTGTAACTGTGGCTGGAAGCCACGCCATGGGAGGCAACATGGTTAACATGCTGGTCAATATGGGACTCGCGTCACATTGGAGAAGCAGTTTCCAACTTTCGACTCTTACTGTAGGGAATGCTTAGAAATTCTCTCCTGTATCTGCTCCAATGTACATTAAAGTTGCTTTTACACATTGCTCAGCCCCAGCTGTTGGTGCAGTGATTGGTTGATCACAGTTGCCTGTGAACAAGGTACAAAGTTGGTGAAGCTGGGAAATCCATTGACCAGAATGATACCGGGGATGAAAGAGTTTAATGATGGGAAGCTGAGTAAAGATGGATTGACTGGTCGCCTCCAGTCGAGTGTGTACGTAGGACAGAGATTTGGTGCAAGAGAGAAGCAGTCCTGTTACACACACACACACCACATCCCCCCCCCACCCCCCCCCCCCCCCCCCCACACACACAGTGCAGCATTAATGTGTTTCCAGGCTACACCATGTTGTGATATTCAGTTACCGCTGGTGTGAGATTCTGTAGAAAACACACACATCACCTGACAGCTCAACTCACAGCTCAATCCAGCCTCAGCTTGTGATTTGCTTCACACTGCCTGCACATGCGAAGCAAAATATACAGTCACTTTACAGCATATTCTGTGAAACACTTGAGATATCTCAACATAAGGTACTATATCAAATGCAAAAAATATATGGTAACAACAACAACTTGCACTTATATAGCGCCCTCCATGCAGGGTGGTATCTCACAGCGCTCAACAGTGGCGGAGCCGGGGGGGGGGGGGGGGGGGGAGAGGTGACCGTAAGCATGGTCAAAGGGGAAGGTTTTCAGGCGGAACCTGAAAGGGGAGAGTGGGGACAAGGGAGAAGGATTGAGGGAGAATGTTCCAGAGTTTTGGGGCATAGTGGCTGAAAGCGCGACCTCCAATGGTGGGGGTGTAACAATTGGTGCCTGTGTTTATCTCAATCTTTTAGTGAGATTGTGAGGGGGGGGTGGGGGGGAGCTGTGAGACTGTGAGAGGGGGAGGGGAGCTGCCTCCAGACCCATACTGACCATTCACCAAAGCATCTAATTAAATACACTGTATATAGCGCCTCTGCTGGTTATTTGGGAAACCACACGCGCTAGCAGTTTGCTGCAGTTCCTTGACAGGCCAGGAGTGGGCGACCCAAACCCTAACTGCTTGAATGGCTGAGGCTCAGGCTGTACCTTCACAGCATGTGCCACTAAAGTGGGCCCCAGGGACCCCAGAGCAGCACAGAAAGACCCAAACCCCACTCCCCGCCAGATACAGCTTTTATTTGTCATGTCTGTCCAGCAGCTTCTGCCCTGAAAGACAATATACAAATGTAATTTTGCTGCTGTTGTTATCAGCCTGGCAGCTCCCCGCAGAGTCAGGGACAACCCAGGCAACTGTGCAGAGTTTAAACCCAGAGAATGGGAGGAAATGATAGCAGGACTTTCTTTACTGGTGAAAACACAAAGCAGAGGCGTGGGCATCAAACAACTGTTACATGTAACATGTTTGTCATGTATGACGGAAGCTGGCTGAGATGCCGAGTGGCCTCCTCTTGCCAAGGCCAGCTCCTGTTATGTCACACATGACAAACATGTTACATGTATAACGTGTGTAGCTGAGGCGCCTGAAACCCCCCGAGAAGCGAGTCTGGTGACGGAAGCCAAACTGGCAAAACACTGTAATAACAAGGGGCCGTCACCAGAGGGCGCACCTACACCAGTGCCACAGGTTCTGGGCCCCACATTCACGCTGGTGATAAACCATTTACAAAAAGTGTAATATGTGGGGAGTGGCGGGTGGTTCCCCAAACTCAGGAGAGAGAAATATTGCCAAAAAGTTCAATTGTACTTGTTGAAGCTATTGATGACGCACCAGGGGAGATAAAGAGAGTTTGGGGCAATGAAAGTGAGGTCAGCAAAAGCACAGATTTAAGACCAGTAACGCTCCTCTACACTGTGTGTCCACACTCCCAGGTCAGGGTTAGAGACACAGTAAAGCTCCTCTACACTGTGTGTCCACACTCCAGGTCAGGGTTAGAGACACAGTAAAGCTCCTCTACACTGTGTGTCCACACTCCCAGGTCAGGGTTAGAGACACAGTAAAGCTCCTCTACACTGTGTGTCCACACTCCCAGGTCAGGGTTAGAGACACAGTAAAGCTCCTCTACACTGTGTGTCCACACTCCCAGGTCAGGGTTAGAGACACAGTAACGCTCCTCTACACTGTGCGTCCACACTCCCAGGTCAGGGTTAGAGACACAGTAACGCTCCTCTACACTGTGCGTCCACACTCCCAGGTCAGGGTTAGAGACACAGTAACGCTCCTCTACACTGTGCGTCCACACTCCCAGGTCAGGGTTAGAGACACAGTAAAACTCCTCTACACTGTGCGTCCACACTCCCAGGTCAGGGTTACAGACACAGTAAAGCTCCTCTACACTGTGTGTACACACTCCCAGGTCAGGGTTACAGACACAGTAAAGCTCCCTCTACACTGTGTGTCCACACTCCCAGGTCAGGGTTAGAGACACAGTAAAGCTCCCTCTACACTGTGCGTCCGCACATCCAGGTCTGGATTGGAGACACAGTAAAACTCCCTCTCCACTGTCCATCCACATTTCTCGGTTAGTGGCAGCATCAATTAGAGACAGGTAAAGCTGTCTCTACACAGCCCATCTAATCCTCTCAGTTCAGTGACAGCATGGGTTTATATTATACAGTGAAGCTCCTCTCTGTAATATGTGGCAGAATTTACATTTCCAATTAAGTCTGTGTAGGCTGCAGTTCAGTCAATGCTTGGCTTGTGTCTTGTTATTTATAACATTTCTGTGTCAGCCGCTGTCTGGGAGCATGAGTTCTATTTACAAAAAACCTTCTCAATTCTGGATAAACACTGAGTTGATCCAAATAGAGAATTCCAATTCCACGTGCCACTCACTTTCAGACAATTCCTGAGGCTGATTTAACTGCCCAATAATTCCCATTAGAACATTTACCTTATAAACATAGTGAACACCATTGTGTCTCCGCTTGTGTGGACAGCTCCACGGGTAACCTATGTTGCCTCCCTGATGTGGGGGATCATACCCCTATGTTGTCCTCCTTGTACCTTTCAGATTGGTCTTCCTGGGTGTTTTATCCTTTCTGTGGCTCAGGGGCACCTTGTCTTGGCTGCAACAAGTTAAATCCACAAGGACCAAGGAATTAAGGAATTTATCTTGCATAGAGTGTTCAAAAGTTTTGACCTCTGATCTGTGTCTGGGTAAGTTGCGCCTCAGTGGTGGGCTCAGGTGTCACTAGTGACAAGCCTGTCTGGCCAGGAATCAAACATTGTACCTCAATCCACTGACTGGTGGTCATGACACAAGCCTCTGGCCTCCCATGGATAGAACTTCCCTCCCCAAGGTCCAGCATCACAGAAACTCTGTTGCTCTCTGAACCCTTTCCAATTCTTGGAAGATGAGATGTCCAATATTAGAGACAATATTGCACACATGGCTTCAGCACTGATTGGAACGAGGTAAGAATAACTTCCTGCCACTTACAATCAAACAATCGAGTTGTGCCTAGTGTATAGTTGGTTTTGTTGACAGCAGCTTCATAGTTACTGATCAATAACCACATCCTAAAAACACATTCAACTGTCCACTGTACCCTGACCAGATCCAGGGGCTGAGATCTTGGTCAAGGTCTTCCTGAATGTTTAACTTCCTTAAACTTCCTCACCTGTCTGTATCAGCTTGGCATAAACCTGTAATGTGCAGTAGAGAATGGTATATAAATATGTCCTGTGTAATAGTAACATGTCACAACACATTCTCTAGCATTCCCAATCCACACTACCCCCTTTTAACACTTTGCAGAAGTTATTTCTATAAAAGGTTCAAGAATTTATAATATTCAAGCTGAAAACCTTTTGTTTAATAATATAGACAATGTTTTTAGAAGGAAGAAAAGTTTTGATTTGGTTTATTTTAAGGTTGCCAGAAAGTGCTGCAGCTCTCGCAGGGTTAATCTGCTGCAGGTTATTTGCTGTCAACAGTTTGGAGTCTCTGGAGACTGGAGACTTGTTTAATGCCTCAATCCTGGCTATCCTGTGGTCAGACCCACACTATACCAGTGTCTGCCGAGCCGTCGCGGTTACACTGCCCCAAGCCAGACTTACTCTGTGCTTTTCAGAATCGTGCTGAAAGGTCCCAGGTCCTGAAAGGCGCTTTGCTCAAAGCCATGTTCGTTGTCCTGAACAACGTTGTGTTACTTTTCTGCGATTCTGAAAAGCTCTAGACAATAATTAGACTGCGGAGGCAGCAGGACACAATCCACACACTGTTTATCCTGTGGTGTAGGGGCAAGGGAACAATACTACACATTATCACAGAGGAAACGAGGAAGAGGAGAGGCCATTCAGCCCATTGAGCCAATTTCACCTGATTATTAGATCTTTCAATCCCAGCCCCGCCTTTTCACCACACACATTAATATCTCAAATGCTCAAGTCACTGTCTATCTCTGTTTTAAACATTCAAACATTCCTTTTGATTCCATCTCAAAAGCTTTCTGGGACAGAGAGTTCCACATCATCACAAGTGTGAGAAAATGCTTCCTGACCTCAGTTTAACTGATGTTAAATACTGATTTTGTTTGTTACCTATGAGTCCCAGGGATCCATTCTTCTATATATAACACCCCCCCCCCCCCAAACTTCTCCATTAGATTCCAGCCTGAATCTCCTGGGGATGCTATTCTATACAGCTCCCCCCCACCAGTAAGCAGTGCTCTCCAGTACTACACAGATTGTTGATCTCTCTCAGATCAGCAGAAACTCCAGCAGCTTTAATAATAACAATAATAATCCTTGCATTTGATACAGTACCTTATCACATTTTCAAGGCCCAAAGTCCATAACTCGCAGTCCAGGAGGTGGCAAGACCCTGACTGAACATTTCATATTTTTAGTGGAATCATAGAATGCTACAAGGGGAATCAAGCCATTTAGTCCATCAAGTCTGAGTTAGTGATTTTCCCCAAATACCTAACACCCACTCCTGCTCACTCCTTTAATATCCCTCTCAAGCATGTAGTACCAGTTGTAACTAATGTAAAGCCCCTTCATGTCAGAGTAACATCAATGTCCATCTCCAGGGGTTTGAGCCTATGTGGGGCCCTGTATCTCCTGTGCTCTCCCTGAAACAGTGTCAGGTGTTGCAATTCTCACTGAAATTCACGTCTGACATTTTTAGGCTGTGTTACCAGAACTGTCCCATCACATGCCCACCGCAGACACAAGGCTTCAGGACACAGTTACATAGGTCTGGAAATTATTTTATGGGAATTTCTTCATCCTCACTCACCCTTTGAAGTGAAATTCTCTTGGCTCTTCTCTCACGCATGGCATATTTAAGGTCGGCTCCTCCTCCCATCGTTCCACTGCTGGAAACACTAAAATTTTGGGAACGGTCTTCCCCCAATGACCACTCTACATATGGCAACCCCGATAGTGAGGGTCGACGGGGTATTCGTTCACAGAGGATTCACACTTACATCTTGTCCTCACCCTAAAACCACATGCCCACACTTTACAGTATGGGATCACTGGATAGTGATCAGGAGCTAAAATCTGGCTTATTTTCTCCCTAATTCAGGGGGTGCTGAAGCCATCTGTAGCCCTGACTGAGATCACTGGCTTAGCATAGAGCGGGGGATGGAACAACTAAAACAGCTTTTTTTGAACAAAATACAGAAAGTTGCTGCCTGGGAAACATAAGCTCCATGCAATCTCCTTCCCACTCTACAACAGACCATGACTGCTTGCTCAACAACAACAACGTGCATGTATATAGCACCCCTCATACAGAGTAGTAGAAATAAAAATAATCCTTTCATTTGATATAGCATCTTATCACGTCTTTGAGACATCTCAAAGCACTTCACAGAATACACTGTAGAGTGAATTGACTATATTTTGTGGGTGAAACGCGGCAGCCAATTGTGCACAGCAGCGTCCCAGACACAATGGTTGAATGAGTGACCAATTTTTTTTAAAGGAATTATTACCCCCCAGAAAAGTGATCCGTCAATCGATTAACAACCCGGGTCCTACTTACCGCTCGGTAAACAGAGCCGTGGATTAAGGAAACTTGTCCAACGTTTCGCCCTGCCGGGAATCAAACCCAGGTCTCTCACTTGCCAGGCGAGTGTCTAACCACTGAGCTACAAGACTCCACAGCCCCACTCACACAGAGCAGCACCCCAGAGTGCTCAGATACGGCACCAGCATGACGAGGGAAATGAAGAGACACATTGAACTCTGGAAGCTGCAGCAATATTCTGGTAGGTGATGAGATCTTTAATATTGAGATTGACCAGCTCGTCAGTAAATACGGCTGATTATTCAGGTATTCAGTCCGAGAAGCCCCGCGCGCCACCACTATTGGACACCATCCACCTGCTTTCTAACGAGTCACCTTGAAATAAATTACTCCACAATTCTCTCGCTGATAACAAGGTTATTGGGACAGAATCTGGAACAAATTAGACGGGATCATAAGACAGATATGTTGCCTTAAACCGTGCCATGAGCACTTGGTGCCTGCACAAAGTGGGGAGGCTGGGGTCTTGATCCAAGGGCTGAGGGCTCAGGCTGGTGGGGATGAGGTGAGGCTGTGTGCAGGGAGTGGGGAGACTGGTGTGTGGAGGGGGGGGTGCGGCTGTGTGGGGTGGTTGGTCTGAGGGTGCATGACGCTGTGGGGTTAGAGCTGAGAGAGTTGGGTCTGAAGTGAGGTTGGAGATGGATGAGGCTGTGGGGTTGGGGCTGGGTGGGGGTGGCTGGAGCCAGTAGAAGACGTGAACCAGGTTAAACCGCAATGTCCCACTGAAAGGGAAGCTATGCTGAGCAGCCATACCTGCCCACACACCCACCCTCACACCTCTAGTGGTTCACGTGCGTTATGTACCATCACTTGCTACAGGTTTAATAAGAGAATAAATAGCAGATACGTTTATCTTACATGGTGAATCGATTCACATGTCCTAAGTACAGTATTTACAGGAACTCCCTCCGTGTCGAGCCGCAATCCCCGGCTTTCCGCAAACCAGAGCGCGGGCGGTTTGGGTGCTATGCAGCGCTTCTCCAGAGCTGGGCGGCAGGAGGCGCCCGCGAGGCAATGACAGTCACAGTCCAGAGTCTCCGGGGTCAGGTTCCGGGGCCGGGTCTCAGCATGAGCACTTGCACTCGGAGATGATGGAATACTGGACGGGGATCCAGGCGCACGGTCTGTGCAGCTCCCGCCGCGGGCAATGCCACCGCAGCAGCGTCTTGGTGCTGGCTTTGGCTTTCTTGCAGCTCATCCCCTCCGGGAAGGAGCAGGAGCGGCCGCTGTAGCAGCTCCCCTCCCGGATATAGCGCGGCCAGAAGCGGTCGCCCAGGTCCTTCCAGGTGTAGAGCACAGGGCAGTGGGTGTAGGACCACAGCCACAGCTGCAGTCTTCTCCGCAGCTTCTTGCTGAGCCGCTGCTTGCGCCCGGCCGCGACCACAAAGTCCACCCTCCTGATGTGGTTGGGCATAAAGCCACCTGGTCTGTGTCTGAGCCCGGGCTCCGGGGCACCAGCCTCCGGCTCCCAGCCCTCCGGCAGCCGCAGCGCCATGAAATTGGGGTCGAAGTTGGCAGCTAACTTCTTGCGTAACGTCGTCTCGTCCATGTCCTTGTCCTTGGGGTCCAGATCGGGGTCCGGGGGCTCCAGCAGCTCGAGGAGCGGCAGGTGGTCGCTGGGCGAGGGGCGGAGGTGTAAGTAATGTTGGCCGGCGCCCAGCCGAACCCACACACACAGGAGCAGGGTGGCGAGGTACACAGTCAGGCGGCGCCGGGACAGATCCATCTGCAGAGACGCCCTGGGCAGCGGGTCCCGCTCGGCAGCCCGACCCCGGGCCCCTCAGCTCAGCCACCCGCACCTTGTGATGGTAAACAATCCGCAATCCTGCCCGGGACTCTCTCTGGTGTCCTCTCTCACACACACCCTGGTTCTTCCCAAATAGTCTCTAACTTTTAATCAACTTGATACTGGTCCCATCAGAACTGCTTCCTCCTCCAACGCTCGTCATCAGACCATCCCGGGACAGTCCGTGTGCAGGATGGAGACTGACTCGCTCACACTCAGCCCTAGTGCATTGCACAACTACAACTGAAGAAAGCTTGTCCTGCAGTGTGATGGCCTGGGACAGCCCCCGGCGCCGCTGCTGTGAGCTGAGCTCCCGGTGGCCACATGCTGTCGGGAGAGGATTACGCGATCCTGCGATTT